CTACAAGGACACAGGTGATGATAAATCACGCATAAATTTGTGTGGGCTATTTTTATTCATGCCTCGGTTGTTTTGAGATTAGACGGGTGAAAATTAATGTATCGAGTGGCCACTTCAAACTCAACGTAATTCCATCCACCTTTCTGTAGTTAGTTATAAATAATGAAGACTGTTTGTCATTACTTTTCTTGTCTTCCCATTTTTCCTACTTTAAGCAAATTCTGAATATCACATTCAAAATATACCCAGAGGGTTTGGCGAAGACAGAACAATACTTGCGCTGATACATGAAAAGAGTAGCTTGGAGTGAAAGTAAATTTTCTGGTAGGAGAATTCGATATTTTTGCTAAGTTACAGCCGTAGGGCGTAATTGGGAGTTAAATACTTTATGATTTCTCAAAGGCGTTTCTTTAATGAACGGATTATGTTTTCATGCCTTGTTTGTGAGGAAAAGCGCGACTTTTTCCCGTGAGTCAAAGTTTATGAGTGAAAAACTTAAGTAAAAAAAATGCGGACTTTAAAAACGGGTACTTTCGTTAGACCGACACCAGAATAGTTAAAACAAGGACATTTTACCAGACACGATAAACCAGCTTGATTGACAGATGTAATGATTCCGTTTAGTTTTCAGCGAATTTTTGTTTGTTCTATTCTCTTCGTTTTCAAATTTTCCACTTATTTTAAGTTATCCCAATAAGAGTATTGCATTGTGTCCTGGTACAAGGCCGGTCGGGTAAAAGGTGGTTATGTTAGCATACCTAGCCCCGTTAAAAACATGCAAGCAGCAAACCAATGGTAAAGTGAAAATTTCTACAACTTTCAAATTGTTACTACAAAATTTCAAAGTTAGTAGCATCAGTTTTATAAATTGGAAGTAAGCTATTTATTGAAAACTCTTATTAAGTATAAAATAATTGTACTGAACAAAATGCAAATCCCTATCGAAGTTGAACAAAAACTACTAAGACACTCCCTGAAGAAAGTGGTGCAAAAATTTTTCAGGGCAGATTAAATGCTCGACAGTTATTCCATCATGTAATCTTTTGAATAGGAAGTTTCCGAAATTTTTTTTTGCAAAACTATGCATTGATTTTGTCGAACTTTTTCTCCGTTTTTTTTGTCTTGACATTTTCGCGCACTTCTAAATTTCACTTGTTAACTTTGATTGTAATAAAATTTCGTTCAAAAAAATTTAAGCAATCAAAAAATCATTTTGATAAGAGAGCTTAAAAAGAGGGTTTAACAATTTGAAATTTTAAAATAATCTTTTTGAGTGGTAAAAAACCCAATGAAGCCAGAAAGATTTGAAAACAATTGGGGGAGCTCAGAATTTTTTCAAGAGTTTGCCCCTTTTTCGAGAAAACAATATATCTACGTCTTTTGTTCCAAATGAAAGCTGTGTATTATTGGGGTTATATTACAAAAACTGCCTTGTGTTTGCAAAAACAAGCCTTACAGGATTCTTGAGAAAAAGCAAATCTTTCGGAAGTTTGGCGAAATTTGTATTCTCTATTTGGAATATCAATTCTTGTAAAAAAAATTGCAAGAATCATTGCAATCCGCTTTGTCAAAAAACTACTAGACTTACAATCATTATACAATTTTTAGTACATTTCTTTCATGCCGTGTTTTCTCTATGACTAGCATTTTTTGATATTAGAGAGTTGTTCGACTAGCTTGAAAATAAACACAATAAAAAAACATACGAAATAAGTTCAAAAGTCTGAGATTTTGTACTTAAATTCTAGTCCAACAAAACAAGGAGTTAAAACAGTTGTACGGTTTTATTTTAATTGTTTTTTTTTCATAAAATCCAAACAAAAAAACCATGGTTAAAAATTACCGAGCTTAGAAAAGTTAGCGAAATCTCGAAGAAAAAAAGTCTTCTGATAATTTGTCATAAAATGAAAATTAGCTGTTTAGTAGTAATTTGATTGAAACATAAATTAGGGTACAAATATGTTTTAGTGAAGTTTTTATGAACAATCGTTTTTTACTTTTTTGCGTTTGTTTTTTTTGAAAAATTGTCGAGATAAGTGAGAGAAGTTCATCATGAAATTAGGTTCCTTTCTTGTTTTTTTTCTGTAAACACGTATAACTTTTCAGAAAGAAGAACATTATAAGCAATTATTATATTCAGAAAGAAGAACATCAAGCAACTCCAAGTTACATATTTTGATTTTTCTCCAATTTTTTAATGTAAAAAGTCATTTTGGGTATAAAGTGTAGACACAAACAGTTTTTTTTAATTTGCCACACAAAAATTCCTATCTAATTGTTAGAAAAATTTTTCAAAAACATTTAATTTTTTTTTGAATTTTTTTTGAATTTGAATTTGAGCAGTTTCCTTCGGTATCGCCCTTGCTGCTGGAAAAACGATTCGGCCTTGACTCGTGGAAGAACTTGCCAAGACCCTGCTAGACACTCTCAGAAACTAAACAGCATTGCAAATTAAAAACGAACCTTGTAACAACTTGTCGAAAAATTAGTAAGAAGTCGTAATTTCATATAGAGTTTTTTTTTGCAAAAAGCATGCAAGTCTTGTGTTCCGAGACCACTGACGCGTTCAAAAAAATGTTTTTAGGAGCATATTAGATCCAGTAATGCTTGGTGTTCAGCAACTGGTTCAGCAAAACGCTTTTATACAGAACGAACGGGGTTTGCTACATCAAGTTTTTGTCAGAGTGCAAGCTCAGCTTGTTTCAATATTTTTCAGAACATATAAAAGCTTAATTTTTAATTATAACTGGTTGACCGATTTTTTGGTTCCTTCAGACCAAACCAAAAATGATCGAAAATTGATTTTAGAGATAAAATTTTGTCCAAAAAATTAGCAAATTACTAAGGAATCAGATCTAGTGACATTAAAAAAGAAAAACAAGAAATCCAATAAAAGCAAAACGGTCAAATTCCACAGTTTCTAGCCATATATTCGAGTTAATTTAAGTTTCAAAAAACAAGTTTAAAGTTTCTTCGTTCTTGAAAAAAGTTGAAGTCATGTTGGTTTTGTAAGAGTTTTCGAAAAAGAGTCCACTCAAAGCTCAAATCCTGCAGTACTTTTTGACAAATCTTGTACATTTTTGATGCTGTTTTTGTTGAGTCTTTGCTACATGAAGCAACTGGTGAAATATTGAGCCGCGCCAATCAGACTAAAACATTGTGAAGTTACACTGCAATTCTGGAAAATATCAGTTTAAAATGAAGTTTTTACGCGAAAGTCTAGTATGCAAAAGATACAATTTGCAACTTTTTCATGTAGTTAGCTTTTTTCATTGAGTTGTACTTTAAACCAAATTAGGATCGTTTCTTCTCAAGCGGTTCAGGGAAGATTTTATTTTGGCTTTAAGTACCTCAGAAGTTTCAGCTAATCATTCCCGTTCTCATGCAAAGAGCACTTGTTAAATTGTTTCCTGGAAAACAAACACAACAATTGGCTGATTGCTTAAAGAACAAAAAGATTGAAAATGTTTTCACCAAATATGGAAAAAATAATTGATTTTCAAAACAAGCTCGAAATATGCAGAGGAATTGAATCATCCTTTAATATCCATTGCCACGCCACACTCGACTTCATATCTAAAACCTTTGTCTCTCTGACTTAAAAAAATCGTCTTCACATCTTTTTGTTGTTTTAACTGCATTCAAACATTTGTAAGTGAATTCTCAGACCATGAATCGAGTTTGGTGTGGTAATGTAAGAGACACGTCACTTTGAATGAAGTTTGCATCGATTTAAGTAGCTACTCTATGTACTTTTGATTAAACAAGACTGCTCGTATCAGGGCGAAGCCCTGAATGTTCCGACTGCCTATTAAGGTTTATGGAGCAGTAATAACATTGCAAAATTAAAAGTAATAAAACAAAATGAAATTTTTTTTTTAAATTTGAATTTTTTTAAATAAAAATTATCCCCCCACACGCCATATAAAGTACAAAAGGATAAATTTCGCTACTTGTAACAAATCAATTATGGCAAATAAGCTTCGTTAAACCAATTTGGAACGATTTATAAGACGGATTAACTCTCCGCTTACGCGTTGATAGCGCGAAATATATCGCGCGTTAATTGTCCCAAATTGGCCAAAATGGCAATCTTTAAACCCCCATAACTTTACAAAAAATGATCACAGGTGACATATCTTTTCAAATTTAAGCTCAGGAGAACAATACCTTTTGAATGATATAAAAAAAATTTCGTCAAAAATGACTAGTTAAAAAGTCGAAATTTGTCTGAAGAAAAAAAACCCACACCGAGCACAAATATTCCATTCCTTTCGTATCGAAAGTCGGAATAATAATATGCTCAATCGATTCGGTTCAAATTTCATGAGGATAAAAACGTTTGCAACTTTTTCTGTATCAAAGCGCAATTCAGAAAAGTCAACAAGTTGTTTCTTGATGATCGGATGTAAATGTAACTTTACTTTTTTATTTCGTCGAAAAATATTTTGATATTATCAATTTCTTTTCCGAAAATCGGCCTACGCAGTTTAAAATATGGTTTTTCGTTGAACATTTGCAGCTTGAAAAAGTACTATTTAATTTTTCTTTTTCTTTTTTCTAAGAGCAATCTTTTCCGTTTTTTTTTCTAGTGCAAACTATGAAATTCAGTCAAAGATAAACAAGAAAAAAAAATAAAAACCAAAAATCAGTCAATTTGACTTTGAAACTTGATACACTGTTTTCAGAATTTAACCTATTTTTAGTGTTTCTCAGTAAATTTTTTCACAGAAAAGATGAAATAACTTTACCCAATATGGGATTTTCTATTGAGAGATTTCAATTTTTCAATCAGCAATATTTTAGGCAGTCAGTTTTTTGGGATTGAAGCAGAAGCGAAATCGAAAAATTATTTTTTTTTCTGTTTCACATCTGTATAAACGGAGTTAATTTCTTAAATTGGAACTTTTTGCTCCTGCTCCAACACCGCCAGCGTTGAAGACGCCTCAAAATTACTGCCTTCATACTTTTGCCTGGTACGAGAAAACTTGTTTGTTTCAGATAAGACACCAAAACACAAGAGGACAGAAGACGTGAAAAAAAACAACAACTGACAGCTAAACTTTTATCTACGCTATCGCAGAAAAGTAATTATCTCTACTCTTTTCACATTTGAATTCATTTAACAAGAAAACAGGTGTATCAAATCTATTTTTTTTGTTATAGATTGTCAATGCCAATGGAGAAATGGTAAGATATTATAATTACTTGGTTTGTCCACTCAAAAAATGATCCAAAAGAATTCTGGCCTTGATGTTCAAAAGCGTGTAAGGTCTTGCCTTCAAATCAAACGTCCATTTCTAACAAAAACAGCTGAATTTGGTTTATATTTGAAACCGTTTTTTTTTGCTTCTGAGTAAAACTATTCTAATCTAATTGCTATTATCTACAGAGCATGAAGAATTTTTTTCCCTTTTCACTTATTCTGACAATTTTTTTTTGTAAGAAATTTAGAATAATGCTGGGTGAAGGTTTTCAAAATCTAATTCGCGTGATTTAAACCCAAAAAGTTAATTGCCTCAGAATCTGATACATGTTTTGGGACATATCGAATGACTTTTGAGGAATCGTATGGATTTTAATTTCCGTTGAACCTAATTCCATGTTCATTCAGCATTGATAAAATTAGTTCTGATCAGTTTTTTCTCACAGTCTGACTTTCTGACATTGTTTTCTCAAAGATACTAAATTAAAATTTATCTTCTGGCAAGAACAGACAATTTGAGGGTAAGTTTGACTCGGTTTGAAAAATGTTGTGAAATTATTTACCCGAAATGCGGGCTGCGTGATACGTTTTCAAATTTCCTTGATTCGACCGTCCCCCAAGGGATATAAAAGTACTATTACCTTGGATTAATTCTTCGGTTTTTCTCAAGCAATTATCTTAACAATGACTGTCGGGTACCAACGTATTCTCATGTTGAATGATTAAATTATTCCAAAAAATTGTTTCAAATTTTTTTTTCTGTAACGAGAATCAACGGCGTGTAACCTTTGGAAAAAAGTTCGGCCTTTATTTTTTCACCATAATCATTTTTTTTTCTATTTCGGAAAAAATTGAGTCTTTGTACAAAATATCTAATAATGGAATCTAATTTTATTTACAAAAATGTTTATTTTGTCATCAATAAAAATGTTTATCTTTTCTGACAAATGTCTGTTTTTCTTAACGCTGTTTTTTGGACCAAAACTTTCTAGAAAGAGTAATCACAATTTTAGATTCAGATCTTCTGAAAGAGAAAATTTAATCCGAAACTTGAAGAGACGTTTTGAAAAAAATTCTAATAAAACGAAAATTCTAAAATTTCAAAAACTATTTACAATAAGCTTTTCTCAATAAACGTTTTTCGTGATAAAAATGCTTTAATCATAATATCCAGATATGCTTGTACAATCTTCTAATTTAGTTTTTTTTTCAGCCATTTTAAGCAAATGAAAGCAGTTGATAAACTTAAGAACTTTAAGCTATTTGATGATTAACCAAAATGAGTTTTTTACCGCCAATCTAATCAATGCCAACCCACGCCAGCTTGTCAGAAACTACTCAAGAAGCTTTAGCTTGAATTTAGGAAAACTATTGATAATTTATAGAGCTGACAATAAATATTATCAATCGGCCAAAAACCCTCGGATTATATTTCTCAAAGCATGAGAAGATTTGAATACATATACAATTATCTGGCCAAAAAGAAGAGCGTGTTGCTAAGCATGTAACACATAATGATCCTGCAATCATTAATAAGTGCAAAAAGCTCAAAAAACAAAACCGAAAAAACTGTTTTACTTCTTTTTTATTTATTTTTTCCCAAAATGATCTTTTTTGATTTATCTAAGATTTTTTTTGTTGTCGACCACTTTAGAAAAGACACTGGAATTCCCTGTTGAATTATCTGATGGTCATCCGTACCATGGCCTTAAGTGATTTTGTTTTCTTTGACGTTGGATCTCTGCGCAGATCAATTTTTTGGACGCGCACCTTCTCTCCCAGCGTTGATCGGTTTCTCTCATGGATTCTCTCCTTCACATAACTTGAAACTCTTTCTCCCTCTGATAGATGCGGTTGTATCGACTTTATTTCAAAATAACTACATGATCCAAGGTCTTCCCTGATGAGGTCACATTCCTCTTCGGACGAATGTGACCTCATCAGGGACCTCATTTATAAAAAATTATTAGGTTTCCCGCAGTTTTTGCAGGTTTTCCCCATCGCTGGTTATGATTTCAATTTCCCTTGGTCAATTGCACGTGTCCATATCTATTGCCGGATTTTGTTTGTCCACTGGAAGTACTGGATCTATTTTTGTTCTTTCGCCTGTTAATTCCCCTCTTCAAAGGTTGTTTCCTCGTACTTCCTTTCGAAGTTCGTACTGCCATTATTGGCTCTTGCCTGGTTTTCAATCCTGAATAATAACTAGTATTCGTCCCTATTTGTGATCAATTTGCTATGTTCGAATTTTATGGCCCTCTTGAGTACTTCATCGGGGTCAAATGTTTCGAAAGTAAGAGTATCTTGTTATGTCGTATTTTTCATCTTAGATTTAAACAAATCTCGCAAGGTTTCATTTCCTACGGTTTCTAACTCCCATATTGCTGCTTGAGCAGTTACTGCCAAGTGAAATGCCTCTAAAGTTTCTCCTGGTTCCTGCATCCTGCATTCTCGTGAAGAGTTTGTATCTTTCGTACGTTACGCATCTAACCTTCTGGAATGAAATCGATGCTAGTTCAAGGATTTCCTGGAATGACATTTTGGATATTTTGGCATGGGGTTCTTCTGTAAGAATATTTTCTCCCCTTCCGTTCCTAATGAGAGGAATAATATGGCTAAAAGCTTCTTTTGTACTTCGTGATGGTAAACGTTGTGGCCAACCCTTGGCCCACAAGTTCTTCTTTTTCCGTTCTCCAGAATAAGTCGGTCTCGTGCTAATTTATCCCTGAGGTTTCAGGCTGATCTCGCAGTTTCATCTTCTCCATCTTGTGGTGTTTATGGTCTCTTTCGTGGTTCTTCCAGTATGTCTTTGGGGTCCTCTAGAATAATTTCTGGGTTGACATTTTCTTTAACCGTGACTGCCAATAGGAATTGCTCTAATCAGATTTTAAATTGCCACGGTGGGTCCAAATTCGCTATAGCCCAACATACTGGTATTCCCATATCAGTGCGATTGTCTTGAGCTGAGAATCCTGCTGGCTGCGCCATGTGATATCCTACGAGGTATCTTCTCGGAAAACTAAATGATAATTCAAAAAAAATTATTTTTGATTTTGAATAAATAGTTTTCTTAGTTTTAGAACCGCTTTGATTTTAGTTACCCTGATCTCTGAGCGGTGTACGGAAGGTCTTAGATACCGTCATCTTGGACACTGTGATAATTTAGTATAGTCATTCACTGAAGGTTTCATCATCTTACTGCTATTGCAGTAGCAGTATCTCAAAGTCGAAAGTTGTATTTCAGCTTCAACTTTTTTTCTGGGTCTGCATATTGCCAATTTGGCAATGCTCCTATATGATTTATGCTTGTTTGAAAATTTGTTTGATGCTAAAAACGCAACGCGAAAAAAAAGTCGTGGCAAGTTATCACGCACTGTAAAATTGGTCCAAATTGAATTCAGGCGAGCTAATCGGGCGTGTTAATTTCTTATTACAAGTTTCCACACTCAATGGTTGATTTAATTCAAAATTTTTGGTTTTTAAAGTGTTTTCAACCAACAACTACTCGATAGCGATTAAAGAATACTTCGAGCATTCAAGGTTTGGCCGATTACACGAACAGTCTTCTTCTAATTGAGAAACAGGGATAGATAGCGGAAGAGAGCGGTGATTGTTTTGTTTTCCGACAAATCTCGGCTCCTCAAACAATTGTTTGACGGAATTTTTTTCCACGCAATTAGGTTTTTTCCACGCCACATTCCTTGGTATCAAAACAGTAAAAAAAACGTTGCCACTGTTTTTGTAGAAATTAAAAATTTAGTGTTTCTCTTCTTTCGAATAGCTTGTTATGTTTGCATCTTCAAAATCTAATTTGCTGGCCCTTTATGACCAAATATGGGTTTTTAAATAACCGCAAGGTTAAATTTTACTAAAAATTATGAATTCAGAAACAAATTTTAAAATTAATCATATTCAGTGAAGTGTTTTGCGTCTTTGCATTAAAAAAATAAACAAGAGATCATCAAATTTCATTCGGAGTTTTATGGCTCATAGATTGCAATAAAAGCGACACTTCATTAATTAAAACGTCTTATTAAAGACCGTTGATTTTGTGAATGATCAAAGGAAGCGATGCATATGGTCAGATGCAGCTATGACAGCGTCGTATTTTTTGGGTAGTTCTGCTCTAATTGAAAACTCTTTTAAAAGCATGTGATATGCGGCTTAAAATGCAGAGCTCTATCTTTTAGTTGAAGTCTAGAGAAAAAGATTCATTTTTAAAAGAGTTTTTTTTAGATTATTTTCGAGTCGACCGTACGGGAACTGCAGTAATAACGACACCCCTTGACTAAAACTGCAAGAAACAAAAAAATTTTGGCTTTTTGAAGGTCTTCTAAGATGGATGGAGTTTTTAAAAATTAGGAGTTTTTATATTATACACGTACAATTTTCCATTCTGAAAAAGGGGATTTTTCCTACTATGAGAGTCCGGTGTAAGAAATGTGTACAATTTCTGTTTAAAAATTATAACTTAAATTGAAAAAACTAAGGTGACGTTGTCAAATTATTTAAACAATTCATATACCCAAGAGAGAAAACCGAAAAAAAATTTCTTCGATTTCAGATACTTGAGAGATAAAATGCACTTTCCCGCAATCAAATTATTAAGAAAAAAGACCAAGGAAACTTGCATGTTAATTTTTCGCCAATTTATTTGATTTCCATCTCGCCCTCAGAAAAATAAATGGATTTCAGATTGTCTATGTTTTCTCGAATTGAAATTTAATTATTCTTCCGACTTTTGTAACAAAATTAATTATTCCGACGAAGGTAACGGAATATTTTTTTCTTCAGACAAATTTTGACTTTTTAATTAGCCATTACAAAATTTTTTCATATTATTCAAAAAGTAGTGTTGTCTTGAGCTTAAAAGTGAAAAGATATTTCACTTGTGATCATTTTTCGAAAAGTTATAGGGGGTTTAAATATTGCCAATTTGGCCAATTTGGGATAATTAACACGCGAAATATTTGGCGCTATCAAC